AGAAAGGTGATTGGAAAAAGGCCATGGACGAGGAAATGAATTCCTTACTTGAAAATCACACCTACGATTTAGTGAAGTTGCCTAAGGGGAAGAAAATTCTGAAAAATAAGTGGGTCTTCAAATTGAAGAATGATGGCAAGAATCTGAGGTACAAAACACGTCTTGTTGTGAAAGGCTTTGGGCAAAAGAAAGGTATTGACTTTGATGAGATTTTCTCGCCGGTTGTGAAGATATCTTCTATTCGGGTTGTACTTGGCATGGCTGCAAGTATGAACCTTGAAGTTGAGCAACTTGATGCGAAGACCGCATTTCTTCATGGTGATCTTGAAGAAGAAATTTACATGGAGCAACCAGAAGGTTTTGTGGAGAAAGGGAAAGAGAAATTTGTTTGCAAACTGAAAAAAAGTTTGTATGGCCTCAAGCAAGCCCTGCGACAATGGTACAAAAAATTTGACTCTTTCATGATGAATAATGGTTTTTCTACAACCACTTCGGACCATTGTGTGTTTGTGAAAATTTTTCCGGATGTTAAATTTATTATTCTTTTTCTTTATGTTGATGATATGTTAATTGTGGATCAAGATTCTACCATGATTAACAAGTTAAAGTTAGGGTTGAGTAAATCTTTTGTTATGAAAGATTTGGGACCGGCAAAGCAAATACATGGTATGAAAATTGTTCGTGATCGCAAAGAGGGGCTGATTTGGTTGTCTCAAGAAAGCTACATTGAGAAAGTTCTTGAGAGGTTCAACATGGATAAAGCAAAGCCGGTTGGTTGTCCACTTGCGGGTCACTTCAAGTTTAGCTCGAATCAATGTCCTACAAGTGAGAAAGACAAGGAAGAGATGTTGAAAGTTCCTTATGCTTCAGCAGTTGGTTCTTTGATGTACGCTATGGTTTGTACAAGGCTGTATATTGCTCACTCCGTTGGTGTGGTGAGTCGTTTTCTTTCTAATCTGGGTAAAGAACATTGGGCAGCGGTAAAATGGATTCTAAGGTATCTTCGTGGAACTTCGAAGGTGTGTTTGTGTTTTGGGGTGGTAAGCCGATGCTTGATGGGTTCACAGATTCTGACATAGCCGGCGATATTGATTCTAGGAAATCTATTTCGGGGTATTTGATGACTTTTGCAGGGGGAGCTATGACATGGCAATCTAAATTACAAAAATGTGTTGCTCTCTCAACTACTGAAGCTGAATTTATTGCTATTACGGAAGCTTGCAAAGAAGAGTTATGGTTGAAGAAATTTTTGCAAGAGTTGGGTTTGAAGCAAGAAAAATATGTGCTTTATTGTGATAGTCAAAGTGCTATTCACTTGAGTAAAAATTCTACTTTTCATTCGAGATCGAAACACATTGATGTGAGATACCATTAGATTCGTGATGTGTTAGATTCGAAACTGTTACAACTCGAAAAGGTTCATACGGATGATAATATTTCAGATATGTTGACTAAGACTTTGTCGAGGGACAAACATTTACAGTGTCGAACTTTGGCGGGTATGATTGATATCTCCACCTAAGTCGGTAGGGGGAGAATTGTTGGGTATACCTCCTTATTGGAGTGTGGGACCCAATTAGTTTGTTAAATAATTTTAATTTGGTTTGGTTTAGGTATAATATATTTCTAATATATTATATCTAATTTTTTAGAGATCTAATTTGTGGAGACCTAATTCAATTTAGTTACAACTAGGGTTTGATAAAAAAAAAAAAGCACACAAGGTTACCATATACATATATTGGTGTTGTTTATGTTCTTTGGTGTGACACACTGCAGCAGCCACATAGATTCGGGAGCCAACATTGATTCTTGGGGCATAAGTTCAATTGATGGTTCCATTGTTGTTGTGCATCATTGGTTAGTAGGTGAAATTGATTTGGTTCGTTATTTTGGGTCTTCTACAGTTCTGATTCTGAAGATTTTGATTCATCTATTTGGTGAGATCTTTCCTCTTGTTTATTTGTGATTATTTAGAATTCACCTAAGGGTGGTTTGTGAGACTATTCGTGTCTCGTTTGTAATCGTTTGGAAACTTATTTGGTTGATAGTGGAATCAGATTTCGTTCCTGTGGACGTACCTTACACTGAGGGAACCACGCAAAATTCTTGTGTTGATTTTGATTTAATTTTTCCGCATTAGGTTTTATTCCCATTGATTGATTTACTTGTGGGAAATTATATTTTCCCTAACATTTATATTCTATTAATGTGACATCTAGAAGCTCCCTAGATAAAAACTTGGATCTAATGCCTTTTATTAGAGTGTAATTTGAACAGATTCAACCAAAACAATTTGAATTTATTCAAAATTTTGTAAGACTTAGATAGAAATTCAAAAGTTAAAATTAACTTTAGATTGGATTGGATTGGATAGGATAGAGACATCAGAACTTGGGCAGCCTCAATCGTATATTATATTAAATATACGTATAATTCATCAGTTTTTTTTATTAATATTAAAATAATTTAGAGAATTATATCATATTAACTATAAGTCATATCACAAAGTCAACACAACATAATTCTTTTTCATTTAGAAATGACAACCTCCATGGTTCTTTAATTCTTATCTTTCTCATATTATTTATTTTGATGTTATTAATAACTTTATCCTAAAAATATTAATAAGATTTAATTTTAATAAATTGATTAGCCGAGCTTGAAAAAAAACTAAAACAAAATCAAATTTGTGAAAAAATCCATATATTTCTAGCTTATGCTCGGATTAAACATGGGCAGGCATGTTCAAGTTACAAATTGAACATGGTGAATTTGGTTAAATTTTAGCACAACTTAAGCTAGTTGTCACAACCCAACCTGCCTCTATGGGCTTAGTCTCGTAACCGACTAGTAATTCAAGATTACCAAAGACCTAGTTAACAGTAATAGGGGCAGGCGGAAGCTAATAAATATTAAAATATAATGTCTAATGAGTTGTGAGACTTAAATGAAACAAAATGAACTTCCATATACATACATATATATGTATATATACATCCATGTCGAGTTCATGTACAAAACAACAACATCTGTTAGGGAATAAATCCCACTAACAAAACCAGTCAAACAAAAGTTTTAAAACAAAACTATTACACTTGATCACAGTGTCAAAAAGGTGACTTCTGCACCACCCAAAAGCCTTAGAGTTTGACCAACGAGAACCTCGATGTAAGGCAAGACAGTTGACTTCACAAAACAGAGGGTAGGTTGACACCATTAGGTCCAATCTTGAGCTTGATCACCTATATATATATATATATGTATATATATAAAATGGTGAGTTAGAACCCAGTGAATAATAATTATGTAAAGGGGTTTATGAATGATATCCTTATAACAATTTAAAATAGTCAGTTTTAGTAGTGAATCAGTTCACAAGTAGTATCTCATACATTTCAGAGTTATAATGAAATCATAGGAGTCATACGTAGTACATCCAATAGTAGAATAATACAGTACGTCTTAAAGACTGAACAGTCATTTGATGGCCATCAATACAATAAACAATAGGTCCATGGAACTGACAAAGATCTCTGTCACACTAACAATAGTAGATGCTATGGATGCCACGGGTACATTTCATAAAATAGAACAATCATTCATTCAGTACAAAATATCATTTCAGAAATAGAGCATTTTATTAATCAGAAAATAATTATAATTAAACAAATCTTTACAACATTGTTACTCACAGTAGGCTCCCTGAATCACGTGATCACAGTGCGGCATTTGACCTACACAAACACATTCAAGCACAACGGTTCAAAATACATTTCATCCATTCAATCGGTTCATAACCTATTCGGTCCATTCGTTACTTATTTACTAAATTGTTCCCATTCATTCTTTACTTTCTTTTGTGTTCATGAAATGGATATGCATATGAAAAACACTTGAAAGCCATGTAAACCGAGGTCCGAAAGTTGGAAAAAAGGAAGAAAAAAAAAAACAAAAAAACAAAACTGAGCTTGCCCTGTTGACCGCACGTGCGAGGGACCTGGCTGCTCGTGTGGTGCCAAAGCAGAATACATTTTGGTGCAGGGGATGGCTGGCTGCTCGTGCAGGGCCTCAAGTCGCACGAGTGGTCTGGGTGCAATTTAGTCCGAAAATCTACTATGTGTTTGGAACCCAAACTTTTCAAACACCAATTCCATTTTCATGTATTTCAAACCCCAAAATGCACAAAAACAACTTGAATTTGGCCAAATCTAACTTCAAATAGAAATTATAAGTTCAAATCAAAACCCAAGGTTTCAAGTAAAAGATCAAAATCTCAAATAAAAATGGGAAAATCATAATACATGTATGTTTGAGTTCCAAACCTTCAAAATTCATGGAAGTTCCTCCTCATTTCCAAAAATCATGCAAGAAACAAGTGATTGAGTATGAAGAATGCGATGTATGTCAAAGTCTTAAACTTTTTCTTACAATTCTTCTCTTTAGGGTTCTTAACATCAACTTACACCACTTAATTTCTTAATTCAACTTAGATTCTATGATTTCATGGGTAATACAACTTAGATTCATGAAATTAGAGGAGGATCCTTACCTTGGATGGTTAATTTGGTGAAGATTTTCTTAATTTCTCTTATTTCTCTTTTCCTTCTCCTTTCTCTCTTCCTTTCCTGAGTTCTCTAGAACACACACACACACACACACACACACACACACTCTCTCTCTCTCTCTCTCTCTCTCTCTCTCAAAATATCTCTCTCTAACAAAACCCACTTAGTCTATATTCTTTTTCTTATTTTGTTAACAAGATGCAAAGAGTGTAATTAAGTCACCAATGCTTTCTAAGTCCTAGTTTCATATAAGTTTAGCCTAATTAATTGATTTAAATCAATTTCACTTACTTAGCTCAATTCTCATCTCAATCCCTTTCAAATTACACTAAATTGAATCATACTACTGTGAGTCAGGCTCTAATTTGCTATTCCAAATATTTAATTTTAACCTTATGGTTTACTGATTCGGACTGGTTTAATTCTTATTCTCTATACATCTGTTCACATTATCACAATACAAATAACACATGGCACATAATCAACATAAAACACATAATCAAGGTAAATCACATAATTTAGCGTTAATTAAGGCGGTGGTTGTTACATTCTCTCCCCTTTAGGATGTTTGGTCCTCCATACTTATTTACCTTCTTCTGAGAAGAATGTAGGGTCTAATGGAAAGAGTTCGGGATATTTTTTCTTCATATCATCTTCTCTTTCCCAAGTCACATAAATTGCACCGTGATTTTGCCAATCCACTTTCAATAACGGGATATCCTTGTTCCTCAACTTTTTGATTCGCTGATTTACAATTTGATTACGTCGTTCTTCATACATATAGTCATCACTCAAAAGAACATGAGTCGACTTAATGACATGGAGAGGGTCACGTAGATAATCCCACAACATAGAAGCATGAAACACATTATGCATAAGTTCCATATCGAGAGGAAGAGCTACTTGATATGCCATCGGATTAATTTTCTCAATGATATCATACGGTCCAATGTACTGAGGTGCTAACTTGCCCTTGGTTCCAAAACGAGTTTGCCCTTTCATCGGTGTTACTTTAATAAAAACATGATCGCCCACTTCATATTCTCTATCATGCCTACAAACATCCGCGTAGTTTTTCTATTAGCTTTGTGTTGGCTTTAACCACGTAACTTTAATTTTTCCGTTGTTTCTTGCACAATCTCGGGCACTAAGAAAGGTGTTAACCAGGTAGGCAACCAAAGGGGGGGTGAATTATGTAAATAAAAATTATACACAGAAAATTGATTACAATAGATCAAGTAAATAAATTCAGCAAGCAATCAATAATACTGAAAATAAAGGAGAAGGGAAAAAGAACTCAAACACAAGGATTTATAGTGGTCTAGCTCACTGGCCTATGTCCACTCTTGAAGGTTCCTCCTCGAGAATTCCTTCACTATGAATCAAATCAATACACCACTAAAGCTTCACCTAACTTATGGATTTTACACAGGACTTACTTTATTTGTTGAGTATCTCTCAACTAAATGCCTCACTTTACAGGTTTTCACTCAGAATAAAAGGAATAAGAACAAGAGATACAACTGTTGTCGTTTACAAAATTTCTCTCTCAAAAGATGTATATGAAAGTATAGGAGCAGAGAGTATTTTTGAGGTACACTCAAAATTAAAATAGATATGAAAGTGAAAGTACAAGAGGAATATGCAGCAAGGATTAACGGGAATAATACTTGAAAGCTTTAGAGTTCTTTAGTATGTTCCAAATCTGGAGAAGTGCTGCCTTTAAAGACTTCAATGTCTTCTAGCCGTTTGAGAGAAGCATGTGCATGTCTTCTAGCCATTGGAGCAGAGCATGGGTGATGTCTTCAAGCTGTTAGAACATATCATGGGTGTGCATAGGCTGTCATCAGGCTTTTGGAGGTGGAGCCTCCTTAAAAGATGCAATGTCCATTAATGCATATCTTGGTAGGTGGAGATAAGATATATCTTCATAATGATGATAGCAAAATCTGCTCAAAAGTTTGCTGCAAAGTCGGGTCAAGGTCTGCTTATAATGATGACTGCAAAGACGACTTCAAAGTGCTCATAATGATGAGAAATAGCGGCTAGGTTTTGAAACCCAGACATAAGGGTGTTGACCCCTGTAGATCGGGTGTCGATCCTTTGTTTGTTGGAACTCTTTTCTCTGTGTTTTGGTGTCGACTCTTGTCATGTGCTGGTGTTAACCCTTAGCTCACTGAAATTTGGTGTCGACCTTTTGCTATTGAATTTTCTAAGCCTTGTATACTGAAATATAGTATTGACCCTCTTCATTCTTGGTGTCGACCCTTGGTATATTGAAATTTAGTGTCGACCTTGGTAAGGCTTAGTGTTGACCCTTGGTTGCTGCAGCACTTAGGCATTGTGTATTATATTCTGGTGTCGACCCTTGCTATCTTGGTGCCGACCCTTGGACCTATTTTAAGAAACAATAACATTGTGCACACCTGTACTAATTCTATTGTTTTTGAGGCCCCAATATTTATGAGAAAATAATAATTTAGAAGCATGCATTCTTTAGAATCATTGAACAAAGTAATGGGAATATTTTGAAAACTTTGGATAATTAAATAAGCTCAAGATATTTGTCAGTAATAAAAATCAATAAAATTTAAATATTAATAACCTTGGGGCTAACAAAATGTCTATCTCCAGCCTTAACAAAGTAGATCGGTGACTGACATTTTCTGCCATACAAAGCCTCGTAAGGTGCCATGCCACTGCTTGAATAAAAGTTGTTGTTGTAAGAAAATTCGACTAAAGTCAAATAGGTTTCCTAATTTCCTTGAAAATCTAATACACACATGCACAACCTATCCTCCAGAGTTTGGATTGTCTTTTCTGACTACCCATTAGTTTGTGGATGATATGCACAGCTCAGTATCAATTCAGTCCCCAATGCCTTTTGCAAACTTTGCCAAAATCTCAAAGTAAATTGCGGATCCCTATTAGAAACAATGGACACATGCACTCCATGCGATCTCACAATTTCATTAATATAAATTGTAGCCAACTTATCCACATTATAGACTATTTTCATGGGTAAGAAATGAGCAGATTTTGTCAAACGATCAACAATTACCCAAATTAAATCCATACCTTTATTGAAGTGAGGTAGCCCAACAATGAAATCCATGGTGATATGCTTTCATTTCCACTCTGGTAGTGTAGTGGCTAGAGCAACCCCGCGGTTCTTGATGCTGGGCTTTAATTTGTTGGCATTGTAGACACTTAGACACATATTTAGCAATTTCTTTTTTCATTCCTAGCCACCAAAAATTTTGCTTCAAGTCTTGATACATTTTTGTATTCATCGAATGGATATAAAATTTTAAACTATGGCCTTCTTGCATAACTCACTTCTTCAATTCGGGATCATTTGGTACACATAACCTTCCTGGAAATTTTAACACATCATTTTCAAAAATGAAACCCGATCTCGGTTTGGAATCTCTTTCTTCAAAAACTCATCTTGTATCTGTTTTTCCTTGATTTCTTCAAGTATTGTTGTAACGCCCCAAAAATTATAACACAAATTAAGTACATCAACCAACTTTTATTATAAGAGAAGAAGTAATTCTCCAACCTTTACATTTCTTGATCATGAGGTTTGTGTAAAATAGTTCCACATGTGAATTATACATTTAATAATTTCTAATGCATGAATCTATAGCATGTAGAACATTGAATCCAAAAGTAAATAAATGCCCTCAAGGGCTTACAAATTCCAAGGTGTAGACACCCCATTTTTGACCGCCCTTAAGACTTGGGCACTACTGATGGTTTGCTTGGTGATGAAAGGTATGCAGTGCAAGGGTTTGATTTCTTCGGCAAGGAGAGAGTCAAATCCCAAACTCACACCCCAGTTGTGGACCAAATCCTTTTTACCAAAGATTTTAAGCCTTAAAACCCTCTCTTTCAAAATATTTTTGAAACAAAGTTCCTACGATGTTTCGAGGCTCGCATTTCGTTAAATGTTGCGCTTTTCGGTAAACCGAGAAGGAAAAAGTAGAAATTCATGGAAGAGAAGTGAACTTCTCTGAAAAATCTTTCAAAACACCTTGTTTAGGGGTTTGGATTTGAAGAAAAGCGGAGAGGAGAGAAGAAAACTAGTTGGGGAGAAGTTTGGCATGAATCCGAGAAGGATCGAAACTGAGCGGCTTCACTAAAAAGGGTATAACGTTTTACACAGTTGGAATTTTGATGTGAGGCTGTCACCATTGGAAATCTTACTTCCGGGGCTTCAATTTGGACACAAGAATGACCTGAAAAGGAGTCCAAATGAAAGAGATATGCCCATTTGAAGTTTGACCTACAGAGCAGATTTTTGCTGTCGGCCAGAAAAGTAGCCGGCCTGCCAGTTGAGGTAGCCAGCCGGCCAGTTGAAGTAGCCTACCAGCCACTTTTGTCAAAAACTCATTTTTTTTTGTAGATATTTTTCCTCCAGCTGTCCTACACTGCTCCAGATATTGCCAAACTCAGATATTTTGACCAAGGCTTCATTTTTGCTATATATGGAAGTCATATCTCATGTTTTGGAGGGTTAGCACATTTTAGCAAGTTTGGGAGCTTCTCACACTAAAATCCCTCTCTCTCTACAAAATTTTCAGAGCTAAATCTCTACCTCTCTCTCTAGAGTTCACTCTCTCTTGCCCTTTTGTGCATGAAAGCTTAGATATACCATACTTTTGCATGCACATCCTTGATCAAACTTGACCACCATTGGGATGAGATTCTTTGGGACCTTGTTTGAGCTCTAGAAGGAGGATTGAGCTTGGTTTGGTGCCTTTTTTGTGCCTAAGTGCTGCTGTGCTTCAAAGGTATAAGACCTACCTTCTTTAAGCTTGTTTTGCATGCTTGTTTTGCCACATTTTCAAACTATTTTTGGCTTGGCTTTGAACTAAAAAAAACTCTGTTTTTCAGTCCTAAAAATGGTGGTTTAACCCCCTTTTGAGTTTGGGGGTGGTCCACCCTTCTTGTCTCTTTGCTTGCATAGCTTTTGTGCCACCTTTCAAGGCCTTTCAAACAATCTTTTCTTGGCCTTTTAACCACTGAAATCCAGAGGAATTTTAGTGGTGGAAAGGTGGTTTTGAGGACCAAAATAGAAGGGGGTGGTCCCCCCCTCCTCTTGTCTTGTTTGTATGTGTTGATGGCCTATCAAATAAGCATGCTTTTGTACCCTTTTGAAGCTTGGTTTAAGCATGTTTTTGCCACTGATTTGGTCACCTCTTGCATGCCTCTTGCACTTATAGTGTAAACTTGCTCACTAGCCTAGTGTACTTGATGGTTTAGCCTATTAATCTAACATGTGTATGCTTCACTCCAGCATGTTTTTAGCTTTGATTTAGCATGCTTTAGGACTGTTTTGAGTGGTCTTGATCATATGGTTCATGTATTGTATAAGTATAGTGCAAGTGCCTTAACTAGCTTTGAGTTTTAGGGCCTTTAGCATGCTTTGCTTGGGTTGTTTGCATGCCATAGCATCATTTTGTATGTGATTTCAGAGCATATTCCTCTGTCAAACTCTCACATATATCACTCTTTAAATGCTTTCGAGAGTCATGCCTTATGCCTTGCTTGTGAGCCAATTTGTGTGCATGTTCGTCTAGTCTTTTGAGTTTCATTTCCAGCACATCTTGGCCACTGTTTTGGCCTGTTTAAGGTATGTCCATAGCTGGTTTGGCCATTTGAATTTGATATTGCATGCTTTTAGTGTAAAACACTTCACCAGCTGTAACAACTCTCATTCATGCCTTAGTCATGCTTGCATGCATTTATATGTTTTGCCATGTTAAGTTGCATTGCCAGTCTTGCCTTGTTTTGCTTAAGTGTGCTCCATGTTTTGTTCCTTCCTTACTGTCTCAAGCCTAAGTCACGCCAAGTCTAAGTCATGTTAAGCTTAGGTTAATCCAAGCCGAGGTCACCTTAAGCCTAGAACCATCTTGGAACCACTTTGGTTGACCTCCACCCTTGCCCTAACATATTGGCCGAGATGTCATTATCTAGGCCGAGGTGTGTATCAC